AGTAGTTAACGAGTTAAGATGTTAGTGGCAACCCTTGTGGAAATAGTCAATCTGAGATCTGATGCCCAGAGCTGGTATCATGTCGGTTCGGACCCGTTCACCAGAACCAGTAGTGGAGATTCCGGGGGGGGGGGTTGAGTTGGGAACGACTAGCACATACATGCAAGGGGAACCTTTACCTTTTGAACAGGTGTTAATCCCTCCCCTCCCCCTCTTTCTCCTTCCCACTCCCTTCTGCAGGCTCAGCCGGACCCGTTCACCAGAACCAGTAGTGGAGATTCCGGGGGGGGGGGTTGAGTTGGGAACGACTAGCACATACATGCAAGGGGAACCTTTGCCTTTTGAACAGGTGTTAATCCCTCCCCTCCCCCTCTTTCTCCTTCCCACTCCCTTCTGCAGGCTCAGCCGGACCCGTTCACCAGAACCAGTAGTGGAGATTCCGGGGGGGGGGGTTGAGTTGGGAACGACTAGCACATACATGCAAGGGGAACCTTTACCTTTTGAACAGGTGTTAATCCCTCCCCTCCCCCTCTTTCTCCTTCCCACTCCCTTCTGCAGGCTCAGCCGGACCCGTTCACCCCCTTGTGGACCCTTTAGCCGCTGGACCGCACTTGGCACGCTTCCCTTACCCTCCCGGAACCATCCCCAACCCGTTGCTAGGACAGCCGTCTCACGAGCATGAAATGCTGCGGCATCCCGTCTTCGGTGAGTTGGGGACGGGGGATGGACGATGGCCCTATTTAGATGTGTTTCCCCCGTAAGGCCAACTCGGTGCCTTTGATACGTCCATTGGTGGGACGTGGAAGACCCCAGTGGGGTGGCGGGCGGGCGGGGGGAATAATCCATGCCCTGTTCGCCTCTGGAGGTGCCTGTGCCTCTTTTCTCCCAGGTGCCCACTACCCACGGGATCTCCCTGGCGCCATCCCTCCTCCCATGTCAGCGGCCCATCAGTTACAAGCTATGCACGCCCAGTCGGCAGAGCTTCAACGACTCGCCATGGAACAGCAATGGCTTCACGGTCACCCCCACATCCACGGGGGGCATCTTCCCAGCCAGGAAGACTATTACAGGTAAGTGGACACATTCTGGACAACACCCCCCCCCCAAACGGCCGCTTCTAAAAGAGGCTTCCCCCTAAGCCCCCCCTCCTCCTTGCTTTTCACTTCCCGCTTCTTCTTCTTTTTCTTTTTTTTTCCAGCCGCCTGAAGAAAGAGGGCGACAAGCAGTTGTAATACCTTATTTATTTGTGACGCTGACTACTCAAGTTCCTAGTCCTCGGGGGAGCAGTGGAATGTGTTTGAATCTCGAGAACTGCTGGAAAAGCAAAAATTTTCTCTTCCGGAGAGAACGTTCTTCTCTCTTTTCACACACGGGAAACACACAGCAGTTCCCCCCGTCCCGTCTCCCCCCCTCGGCCCCACGCGTTTCGCCCGAAAAGCCAGACCTCACGAGACGTGAAATTGGTGCATATGTTCTATATAGCATTCATTTGTAGGAAAGATTTCTTCCAGAGCAGTCCAGGAATTTCCTTGCATGACTAAACCTGTCAAAAGGCCTTTCTTTGTTTGTTGGTTTTTGGAATGGGAGGAAGAAGAGGAAAAAACGAAACAGAGCCGGAGAGAAATTAATCCAAATTAATTTCCTCGAGCAATCTTGGGACATTTGGTTTGGTTATGTTTTGGCTGTTGGTTTTATTCTTATTTTTTTTGTATTATTTTTCATTTTGAGTAGGTGCTAGTTTCAGGTTCACAACCTCTTAACGCAGGCCACTGTGCATAAAAAAAAAAAGTATATTCAATTTATATATATATACTTAAAAAAAAATAAACCTCCGAGAATCGCAAATAGTGGCTTTTACAACCTCTGAAAAAAAAAATCCAAGTGCTATAATAGAATTTTTAAAAAAAGAAAAAAAAATCTACTTTTATTTTAATACATTGTAGGCAAACTTCATAATTTTAAAGAGAGCTTTGCAAGCATGGCTTTTTAAGTCTGTAAATAACTTTTTGGGGGAGGGGTTAGGGGTTTTAAAAAAGATGATTATAATTTCATGAATTCCTGATTATTAATATTATTATTATTATTTTTTTGCCTCTTCTCCCAGCCCCGACTCCTTCCTCTTCCTCATAAAATCATCTACTTCTTAAACCTGGTGTTCACAAGAATATAGACTTGATTTTTTAAACAGATAAGAGGAATATATATATATATATATATATAAGCGACCCTTCGATTCAGGGAAAGGGAGTACCATAAAGTCAATAATTTCAGAACGGCTGGTCGGCGCGCAAGCATTTAAAAGGAGTGGCAGGGATAATATTAAAAAAACACATTTTTTTTTGCACACACGTTAAATGTGCAACGTTCTTTATTTAATTACTTTCGTTCCTCGCTCTTCCTTCAGTAGCTGGTTGTGTTACAAAGCAGTTGTTTGAGCAGGAAGTCACACCTCATTTCCAATTCATGGATACTTCACCTCATCCCCAGGTGCCTCTTTACATACACCCTCCTTTTCCTGATTTTATTGTTGTTGTTTTTTTTTTAAATATCCCCAAAGTGTAGAAACATCGAAAGTTTTTTTGGCCGTAAACCCTACCTTTTCTTAGTTGGGGGCATGTGGGTCTTTTCAGCCAGCCCATAAATTTCAATCTCAAATCATTTTGAGAGAAGCTAAAATGGGTTGGCAGAGCAGTAGGCTTTCAAACCAGTTATGCAAAATGCAGGGGTTTTTTTCTAGGCTGGCTGCAATTATAATTTTAAGTCACCCACGGTGGTTCAGGCAGGCTCTCTCCTCCCGTGTTGGGAAGAGGAATAAATCAGAATTTTGCAACACTCAGGAACTTGCCCTGTTTGGTTAAGACGACTGCATTTCCACAAGAATATTAACGCCAGCATCCAGCTAAGCTACCTGGCCGTTGGCTGGAATCGCACTGTGAATCCTAACCTTTCCCACGGTTACGTCAGACAAGCTTTTAAATTTGGGAGGCCGATACGAAACGTGCGCCTCGTCACCACTTCCCCTTTTTGTTGCTCCTATCAAAAGCCTTTGCTGCACCGTGTCTCGTCCCCCCCCTCTTATTTTTTTTGGGGGGGAAGCCAAGATTTCTGGCGCAAAGGACATTTTAAAAAAAATCAACCCACCTGTTTTCTCAGGATAGGCCTCTCCATCCTTCAAAATCCCCCCTCCTGAGCACTTTGCAGCCTGCCCATCATCCCTTTCGCCCTAAAGGGGTTTTTTTTTTTAAATCCCAGCACCGACCGGCATCTCTGTTTCACAGGATAGATTTGGCTTGGCTCTTGGGGATGGGTCTTTTGGGGTGGGTCTCACCCCTCCCGGAATTAAACCTCGATCCACCTTGGTGAACTGATGCTTCTGCCTTGCCTTACCTCAAAAGATACAAACGGTTGAATCCAGCCTTTGGGGGGCACGGGGGGGGGGAAGAAAATGGGATTGAGAAGCAGGGAAAGCGTTTTATTTTAATTTTTTTTTTTTTGCAACTCGGATGCAAAAAAGAAAAAAAAATGTATTTTTCCCACCGACTAGCAAGACAAGCTAAAAAGAAGTTGAAGGAACCTTGAAAAGTTAATTCATTCTTCTGGAGTGGAAAACACTAAAAAAAAAAAAAAAAAAGCAGAACAGCTCCCAATAATTGTGAAAATCTTTCTTCCGTCTCCGTTCGTGCAAAGAGAAAAGTGAAATCTAATTTCAACAGGTAAACCTCGAGTCTTTGGGGGAATCTGCCTTAAACGTAGATCCCCTTTTGGGAAACAGCGGACAACAGAAGTTGCAATTCTCAAGTCAAAGGTACCATCCTGTTGAACTCCCACCCACCCTTCCATTTTTCCTCCCCTCCAGTTTTCCAATTTAAATATTTTGAATCATTCCAGGGCGGGAAAAAACTTTTAACTCGCAGTGTTAACTTCTTCCCAATCTTAGCAATCGCCTTCCTCTGTTGCAGTCGATTTTTTTTTTCCTTTTGTGGATTAACATTTCTGCAGAACTTTTTCTGTTTGTTTTTTTTTTTGTTTTCACAACACATTTCTCTCATTCTGATTGCCCACTCTCCTAGTCTGGAGTGGGCAATTATTTTTGTTTGTTCGTTTTATTTCACACCAACCCGTCTCTTGTTCAGTGTTGTCCTTTATTCAAGCTCTCCCTTCTGACAACTACGTTTATATATATCTTGAGGTTTAGTGTATATATATGAGTAGTTTGCCATGGGATAACACAGTGTAAAGCAGGATATAGAAAAAGAAGAAAAAAAACCCAGGAGTTGTGAATTCTGTGTTCTCTCCATTTGAGTATTTTGTAATTTTTTTGAAATATTTGTGGACATAAATAAAAACCGAGCTACACTACCTCCCCGTTTTGCCTTTTCTTTGTATATGTGGGGGGGTTGAAGGGGGTGTAAAAACTGGAGATCACAGGCGAAAGAGGCTCTTTTGCACATCCAACACCCATTTTGTCCACCGTGGAGAAGCAAACGGGCAGCAAGGTAAGAGGGTTTCCGCAGGGATGATGGATGGTTTTCAGATGGCAGATATTCTGAAAATTATAATCTCAGATATTCTGAAAATAATCTCATTCTGAAAAAAAATGATACTTTGAAAATTATAATCTCAGATATTCTGAAAATATGTTCAGAAAATAATCTCAGATTTCTGAAAATAAACTCAGATTTCTGAAAATTATAATCTCAGATATTCTGAAAATAATTAGAATTTGCTAATTATAGTCTCAGATATTCTGAAAATAACCTCAGATATTCTGAAAATTATAATAGATCTGAAAATAATTATCTCATGTTCTGAAACTAATACATTCTGAAAATTACATTCTCAGATATTCTGAAAATTATAATCAGATATTCTGAAAATAATTGATATTTTGAAAATTACAATCGTATATTCTGAAAATATGTTCAGAAAATAATCTCAGATATTCTGAAAATTATAATCAGATATTCTGAAAATAAGCTCAGATATTCTGAAAATTATAATCTCAGATATCCTGAAAATAATTAGCATGTTCAGAAAATTATAATCTCATGTACCCTGAAAATTATAATTGCAGATCTGATAATAATAAGAGCATGAAAAAAATCTCCAGGATGGTTAGAGTCCTAGTATTTAGAAATGGAGTGTTGAAAGTCAACACCTTTTTTTCCTTCCTTTTCTACACTTCCCCTCCTTTTTCCCTTACAAATTGCTTTTTATTTAATAATATTAACTAATAAAAACTGCAAATGATAAACAGGGATGGGGGGGAGGTATTTTAGGCTGCCCCTTGGTTGAAATGTCAAATGCCTGTGGATGTATAAAATGAGATGGGGGGGGAGGGAGGGAGATACCCCCCCTCAAGGACCTTGCAATCTGCAGCATTTTAATTTTAACGTCATTTATTTAGATATATTTTAAAAACTGCCCATTTCCCCCAGAGTGCAGGAAGGAGAGGCGTTATAAGGGCCAGTGCAGGCCCTCCCTCCTCCCCCTTCCCAAATAGCAGTTTAAAATAATCAGGGGGTTTAATGATTTTTTTATTTATTTATCAGACCCAAACACCCTCATTTTCCACGCCTGTTTGTGTGTGTGTGTATATACACAGACCCTGCTTGAAATTGCCTGCATCCTCGGACGCTACCTTAATTTTATCTCTCGGTTCGTCGCTTCGATTTCTTGGCTGCCCGTCTTAACCACAGGATAACCCTGAATCCCTGTTAGGTCCTGGTTTGAGATTGGAATGATTTAAGTTTTCACCTATATAGTTTTGACAAAAATGGTAGCGATGCGGTCTCAACACCTGTCTGACTGGACGATTGACCGTCATATGAGTTGTCCAGACCTCAACGCTGGCTTCAGCCTTCCTGAGAGCTTTGGACTACACCCCCCCCCATAATCCCCAGCCCCCCAGGAACCCAAAGGCCACTCCATCCCAAGCCTATTGCCCCCTCCCCTCAGGTGCCCACAGGTGGGGCTCGTTCCCTGGATGAAGGGCAGGCACCAAACGCCTCAGGTGCCAGCCAAAGGCCCCATTTGGGCCCCTGCTGAGCCAGGCCGGCCTTCAAATGTCTCTCGGGGTACATGAGGTGCCCCATGGGAGGGATTCGGGGCCCTCATGGTGTCTTCGCCCCTCCAAAGGGCTTGGGGGGGCCTTTCCTCACAACAACCCTGCAGGCCGGCCCCCACATGGCCCAAAGGGGAGCTTGCGGAAGAGGGCTGCGCCACAAAGAGGAGGCCTCAGCCCTAGAAGTAGCAAGGACAATGAGGACTAGCCACACCCAGGCACAGGTCATTAACCCGCTTATGAAGACCGGGCAGCTGGTTCAGTCACCATTGCGGTTTAAAAGAAGAGACAGAGGGACTTTATTTATTTATTGTGTGCCTTTGTTATTTTTACAAATAATTTGAGGGCGGCAAACGCACCTTCCTCGTATTTTCCCCACCACAACAACCCTGTGAGGTGGGCTACGCTGACAGAGAGAGCGGGGGGGGGGAGCACCGGCCCAAAGTCACCCAGTCAACTTTCATGGCTAAGGCGGGATTTGAACTCGTAGTCTCCTGGCTTTCTAGTCTGAAAGTTGCCTTAACTAACTACTAGACCGAAGTGGCTCCCTGGCCGGTGGTTATTATTCTTGTTTTATTATTTCGTTTTATTAAACTGGCTGGTGGTTTATTATGCCTTGGAGCCGGTCTTAAGAGGCTCCCCCTGCCGAGATCGGTATTTATTATGGCCAACAAAACTGTCACTCAAGGCCAACCTTCTCACTTCAGCCATCAGCAGCAGCCGCCCTCTCCAGCATCAAACACTTGAGGGGCTGCTGCCCCTCCTCCCCCAAACTCACTCCTGTGAGGGCGCATGCACACAGATACAGGATGGGTAGGAAATGGCAGGGGGGGTAGGGGGGTTGGAAGGAAGATAGGAAGGAGGGAGGGATAAAGGAGGGAGAAAGATGGATGGATGGATACGGATAGAGGGAGAAGATGGATGATGGAGGGATGGCTGGATGGATAGGGATAGAGAGGATGAGGCGAGATGGATGATTGATAGATGATAGAGGGGATAGAAAAAGATGGATGGATAGATATAGATAGCTTAGGTAGGTAGGTAGATAGATAATAGATTTGATTGATTGATTGATTGATAGATAAGATAGATAATAGATAAATAGATATTAGATAGATAGGAGATAGATAAGAGGTAGGTAGGTAGATAGATGGATAGATAGGTAGATACCCTGTTTCTCAGAAAATAACCTCCCCGGATAATACGTCCAATCGAACTTTTTAGTACATGCGCTAAAATAAGCCCTCCCCCCAAAAAAATAAGCCCTCCCCGAAAATATTGCAACACAGCAGCAGCCATGAGGTGACCACGCTCACTGCCTCCTGCACCTCAAAAATAATAAGACCTCCCAGAAAATAAGGCCAAGCGCCTATTTCAGGGATCAAAAGAAAATAAGACCCTGTCTTATTTTCGAGGAAACACAGTAGATAGATAGATGATAGATAGATGGATGGATAGATGGATGGATAGATGATTGATAGATAAATGGATGGATAGATAGATAGATAGATAGATAGATAGATAGATAGATAGA